ATCACTCCCTGCTCTCCAGGCAAGTTTCCCACAGGTTTCTATATGAACCCATATATTTTTGTCAACACAGTGAATGTATTCATTCTATTAATTACACTTTACAAAAAAAGCTAAGAAGAAAAAAGAAGGAAGAAGAGACTTAGAGAATTAAAGGGGTCAATAAAATAATAAACACTGCAATGCTTCTACAAACCAAAACCCAGCACCAGATTGCTTACATATAATCCTGCTGATTCTATTTATGCCAAAGCTCCAAGTAGGTGATATTTCCCCTATTTTAGGGCAAACACTCTGGTTTACAGGGTTTATATATGGGTCGTCCAGGAATTCAGCTGATGGCTGGAACAGGAGTGTTAAGCCTCCCTTGACACTGCAAGGTACCACAACTAGTCTCTGCCGCTAGGTTTGAGGCTTTGCCAATCCTCCCTCCAACTCAAATGGGAACAGGGATTCCCATCCACTCAACCTTCACTTCCCAGATTTCCTTTAAAGGATAAAACAAGATAAAGGATGTGAAATTGAGAATCCAATCTGTGTTTTAGTAAAGTTGCTCTCTGATCAGCAATTTTATTTCTCAGACTCCATCCCCAGGAAATAAATAGGAAAATGAATAAAGGTTTATGTTAAAAATGTTCACTGCATCATAGTTTATGGTAAGACAAGAGAGTCAGGCGATGATTCAGTGGGTGGAGGTACTTGTCAAGACTAATGACTGGAACCCCCATGGCAGAAGAAAGAACTGATTTCTGAAAGCTGTCCTCAGACCCCTATATGCATATGCACACCCAAACACAAATAAATAATCATAAATATAATTTAATTTTTAAAAGACTAGAAAAAAACTTTTAAAACAAAATTAGTCAGTGTGGTGGCATGTGCCTGTAATCCCAGCACTTGGGAGATGGAGGCAGGAGGATCTCTCTGAGTACCAGGCCACTCAGAGCTGTCTGTCTCAAAAACAGGGACAGGGACCCTGTCATGAAAAACACACAAAAACCATAACAACAACAACAACCAACACAAACCAAGAAAACAAACAAAAAAGCCCAAAACATTTAAAATTGAAAACACCTTCTTCCTCGAGACAAAGATAACATTAAAGGATTGATCAAATAACACATGGTGGAATGTAGCTATAAATGTCATTGAAATAGTATTTATTAAGAAATTTTAAAGTGTCAGTCCTTTTTGAATGTACTTTAAAATATAGGTACTTTAAAAAAATGGCTTTATGTTTATTTATGTGTATATGCCATGTGTGTGCATGTGTACGTTCGTGTGTGTGTGTGTGTGTGTGTGTGTGTGTGGGCGCGTGTGCGCGTGTGTGAGTGACGGGCACATGTGAGTGCACAGAGGCCAGAGAAGGGCATCAGGTGTCCTTCCTTAGCACTCTTCACCATATTCTTTTGAGGTAATGTGTTCCACAGTTCCTTGTCTCTACTACTGTGGTGTCAGGGTTATAGACATGTGTGAGTTATGTCGGTGCTGGGATACAAACCCATGTCCTCATGTTTACATAACAAGCACTCTTAACTACGGAGTCATCTTTGCAGCCCTGAATCACCAATTCTTGAAGTAGGATGTGCAAACTAAAAAGGAAGGTTTATGAGACCGTTTAAGTAGCCAATGGTGTCCATCTGTCTCTTCCAACCTCTCTGTCTTTCTTTGTGTAAATGCTATCCATATTTGCCTAGGGAACCTTTTCCTGAAGGCAGATTAATTTAAAGATGATGCTGAGGGTCTCAGATAAAGACTTGAGAGCTGGGAGCAAAGAGCAGGAAGACAGTGAAGAAGTTTTGCTAAAGGGTTGTTAAGGGACTGACTGTTTACTTTGATCTTTAAGAGGGCTTTATTTTGTTTCACATTAGCGGCTTTTTGTCCTTAAAGTTTATTCATGAGGTTCATAGAGCCAGATCTTCGAGCTTACCCCTTCCCTTTTACATTTACTTATTTAAAATGGTTTGTGTGTTTGTGTCCTTTCTTATGTGCCATAGCACATGTGTGGAATGTTCAGGGGAGTCTGTTCTCTCTTCCACCATGGGGGTTCCCAGGGATTAGACCCAAGTCATCAGGTGCCATCAAGTGCCTTTACCACTGAACAACTAACCCTCTTTTTTTTTTTTTTTTTTTTTTTTTTTTCATTGAAAAACAAAACAAAACCCCAGGAATTTCCAAAGAGAGTAAGAACCAGAACATTAGGTCACATAAGGCAATTCCACCCTTTTCTGACCATATACCTAGCCCATTGTTAGTGTCCAGGAAGAAAAGAGACTTAAGACTTCTAAACAGTGCACTTGAGGCTTCTGAGATGTAGAAGAAGCAACTAAAGACTCAACTCAGATAGCTGGGTGTGGTGCTCACACTTTTAATCCCAGCACTTGGGAAGCTGAGGCAAGAGGATTACCTCAAGTTCTGGGACAAAGAGCCTATCTCAAAAAACAAAAAACAAAACAAACAAACAAACAAAAAAAAAACTAGGACCCATTAGATGTCTCAGAGGGTAAAAGAGATTGCCATAAAGCTTGACATGAGTGGTCTAAATAAGAATGGCCCCTATAGGCTCATATGTTTGCATGGGTAGTCACCATAGAATGACACCATTTTAAAGGATTAAAAGGATTAAAGAGGTGTGGTCTAGTTGGAGGAAGTGTGTGATTGGGACTTTTGAGGTTTCTAAAGCCCATGCCAGGCCTGGAGTCTCTTTCTCTGTCTACAGATCAAGATGTAGAACCCTCAGCTACTTTTTGAGCATTGTCTACCTGTGTGTTACCATGCTCCCCACCATAATGACAATGAGCGAACCTCTGAAACTGTAAGCAAGCTTCCGCCTAAATGCTTTCTTGTAATGGTTGCTTGGTCATGGCGTTTCTTCACAGAATAGAACAGTGACTAAGACAGTCCCTGAAGGTGTGGAAGGGGGGAAACACCTGCTCCAAGTTGTCCTCTCACTTTCACATACACATTAAAATTTTGTAAGAAGATGAATGAAGACCAGGTACTGGATTGTAGGGTTATATCTGGATTATGGGGTTTAGATTCAGACGTTCTAGGAAAGGAGAGGATGGTGTTAGACTTGACCTATAGTACATATTTGCTGAATGGATGAATGAGGAAATGAATAAATAAAGAATCATGGCTCTGAAGGATAGAAGTCTCAGGAATGCTCATACCTCTGTGGAGTTTGCCAGTTTTTAAAGATGTCTGTGCTGATTGGCTTTTTGCTGTATTAACATAAACCTAAACATATCTGGGAAGAGGGACTCAGTTGAGTCCATCAATCTGCCTCTATCTCAGATTGGCCTGCAGGCAAGTCCTTGGGGGGCATTTTTCTTTTAATAATAATTGAAGGCCCAGCTCATTGTGGGCAGTGTCAGCCCTGGACATGTAGTCTTGGGTTATGTAGGAAAGCAGGCTAAGGAAGCCACAAGGGGGAAGTCAGGAAGCCATGTTCCCCCACAGCTTCTGCTTCAGTTCCTTCCCTTGAGTTCCTGCCTCAGTTTCCCTCAATGGACTTTGAATTGGGATGTGTAAGCCAAATAAACCCTCCCTTTCCTCCTTAAGTTGTTTTTGGTCAGTGGTTTTTTTTTTTTTTTTTTTTTTTTTTTTTTTTTTATATTTATTGTGTTTACAATGCTCTGCTTACATGTCTGCTTCAACACCAGAAGAGGGCACCAGACCCAAGTACAGATGGCTGTGAGCCACCATGTGGTTGCTGGGAATTGAACTCAGGACCTTTGGAAGAGTAACCAGTGCTCTTAACCTCTGAGCCATCTCTCCAGCCCTTTTGGGTCAGTGTTCTATCACAGCAATAGGAAGCAGACAAAAACCAAGTCAATCATTTGTTTGTTTTTAAGACAGGGTTTCTCTGTGTAACTCTAGCTGTCCTGGAACTGACTCTGTAGACCTGGCTGGCCTTGAACTCACAGAGATCTGCCTGCCAAGTGCTGGAATTAAAGGCATGCACCGTCATCACATGACTCTCAACAATTAAAAAAACATCTCTCTCAAGTCTTCTGAGAAAATGAAAAAAAAAAAAAAAACTGTTCTTCCCCTTTTCAAGACAAAGAGATTGAGGGCCTGAGGGAATAAAGTGACTTCATTAGTCCTTCACATATGTTCAGAGTGTTGTGATAGGCTAGGATTTCAGCTCGAAGCCAGGGCTGCAGAAACAGAGTATGTTAGGTTCCAGATGCTCATTCTGAGAGAGGAGGAATAGTAAACAAGTCTGAAATGACGTAGGTCGCAGCAGAGGACTGTGGGAGCATGGGAAGAAGAGAGTGTGCCTCGCCATGCTCAGGGGAAATGACACTATGAAGATGAGTAGGCACCCATTAGAGGGAAAAGATGACTCCAGGCGGAAGGGATGCATTAAGCAGGGACAAAAGGAAAACATATTGTGACATCTTTGGATTTTGGTGAAATCACTGGCATATTTTGATGTAAAGATAGTATAGGTAGATGGAAAATGGTTGAATGGGAACAGCTTAAGGAGTTGAATGTTTAGTTAGCTGGTTCTTTGTGAAGATGGACAGTTCAGGTTTTATCTGTAGAGCTGTGAGGAGCCAAAGCAGTTTTAAAAACAGAGAATGATAGTTCAATACTGGGCCTGCCCTTCTATAGGAGATTTCTCTTGATCACTAGGTCTCCAGGGTTCACTAGGGCCTACCAGGCTTCTCATTTATCTGCTGTCCGGCTAATCGTGTTTTCCTGTTGAATTGTTTTCTGTGGCAACCTGGAGATCAGTCACCATGTCTGATTCATATTTGAACACCCCCACCCCTATGCTCAGCAGAGGGTTCACCCCAGAGCAAAGTGCTCAGCAAATATTTGTTGAAAGAATGAATGGGAGGAGCTGGGTTCCACCCCAATCCTGAGACAACATTTGGGGCACGAACAGTGGTGGGGAAGCTCTGAGTAGTATTTCTTCTGCAATGGTAGGTGATCATTAGAAGGTTAGAGACTCAAAGTCACACCAGAGTGACTACAGGCCTCTCTTGCAGATGGCTTCAGTAACTGATGGTAAAACTGGAGTCAAAGATGCATCTGACCAGAATTTTGACTACATGTTCAAACTGCTCATCATTGGCAACAGCAGTGTTGGTAAGACCTCCTTCCTCTTCCGCTATGCTGACGACACCTTCACCCCGGCCTTTGTCAGCACCGTGGGCATCGACTTCAAAGTGAAGACAGTCTACCGCCATGAGAAGCGTGTGAAGTTGCAGATATGGGTGAGTGTTGGACACTGTGGGCAGAATGGCATATAACTAGTTATGGATACAAGACCTAGGAGGTAGGGCTGGCTCGCAACAACTGGGTCTTATAGCGTTAGATATCAACGCCATTTCAGGTCTGGCCTCCACTGCCCCATGTTTTTGGTTTTATTTCTAACACTGCCCCATGTTTTTTGGTTTTATTTCTAACATGTTTATTCTTCTGGGGAGGCATGGTTCAGTTACTGCTGCTTAATTAATAAAGGCTTTATTCTGGCTTTTGTAGAGGAGTGATCAAGAAACTGGGCATTAGAGTTATAGACTGGGTTTCAATACTTTTACCACTTACAGGCCGAGGAAACATGACTAAGATATTTAACCCCTCTCAGCCACTCTTTTCTTTTGGGGGAGGAGATTATAATCTCATATAGTTACAGATGGTTGCTTAGTGTAGTTCCTGGGACAAAGTACACACATAGGCGTTAGTTATAAATCAGCTCTCTGTGGTTGTGTAACAAATTACTTGGTGCAAAACAAGAGTAATAATTGATCACCTCACAGTTCCAGGGTTTGCTTGGGGGCCTCTCTTGAATTGTAGCTAGATATTGGTGAGTTGCCGAAGGACTGACTAAGGCTGGAGGATCCACTTCCAAGATGGCTTACTCACATGTCTGGTGCTGGCTGTTGGCAAGAGGCCTTTCTTCTTTTCTTCCCATCTGGCTTTTTTAGCATCTTCATAGAGCTGCTTCACCATCTTCATTGTATGTATGTATGACAGCTGTTTTCCCCCAGAGTGAGATCTAAGAAATTAAAGGGAAAAAAATGGCAATGTCTGTTATACAGCCTTAGAGTATTCTCTTGGCTACTGATTGAGTGTGGGAAGAAAGTACACAGAGGTTCAAATATGGGGAGGAAAGGATCATGGTGGACCGACACTCTTGGGAGTTGGAGACTCAGCTCCTGTTGTTATCTACTGGTGGTAAACATGTGCCTGTTTGAGAAGCTTGTCAGAGTACTTAGCAATGGCTTAACACTGCAGTTGGGAAATCTTGAAAATTTGTGAAATAGTCAAAACATGTTATGCCGCTGTTTATTAAACTTAATAGATTATAATAGTATATTGTACATATATCTATATTTGTTTGTTTGTTTTTTGAGACAGGGTTTCTCTATGTAGCTTTGGCTATCCTGGAACTCACTCTGTAGACCAGGCTGGCCTCAAACTCACAGAGATCCACCTGCCTCTGCCTCCTGAGTGCTGAGATTAAAGACATGCACCACCACCAACTGACTCATATCTGAAATCTTAGACAGACTACATTTCCATTTAAAATGTTAAATATTAATTTAACTAATATTAAATTAATTAAGAGTGGTGAGTGTCCATTGATGCCCCATTAAAGGCACTGAAACATAACGCATTAAAAGTAGGAGAAGCTATGAAGGTTGTCTAATTTATTGGTTCTCCAATTGTGATTCAACCACACCAGCAACACTTGGGGATTTGTTAGGAATTCATTCTTGGGCCTCACCACAGATGTAATGAATCCAAAATACTGGCGATAAAGTCCAAAATCTGTGCTAGCAGGCAGTTTTATGGCAGGAGAACCGCTGATGTGGTTTAACTACCTTGTGGTGAGAGTTGATAAATATATGAAAGCATCTACTGTGTGCTGGGGACTTTCACTTATAGTATCTGATATCAACTGCAGCACAGAATTCGTGAAAGCACATGCATGTAGAGTAGGGTGATTATCACTTTGAAGCTGGATCAAGGCTGTGAGAGAGATAGAAGAGAGAGAGACAGACGAGAGAGAGAGCTGTTATAGGCAACTGATTGGGGGTTGGGGAAACCTTTAAAACACCACAACTCTTGCCATTGGCCAGATGGCATTTGCCTGATAACTACTTAGGGAACTGTAGAAAAATTTCAACTTGTTTTAAAATCTATTAATACAAAATAAATTCATTTTAACTAACTGTGTAAATTAGTACAGTTCTCCTTTGTGATTCCTACACTAGATGGTCACATGTCCTACAGCTGAGACAATCTTGAGGCAGGAGGCATTCTGCCTAAGGGCTTGGCAGTAGTAGCTTCCTCATACCTTGGTGTATTGAGAGCGTTTGCAGTTTTGATGTGTCTGGCTTAAGTAGATTTATTGATTATGCTATTTAGCTTTAACTAAATGAAATCCCACAATGGGTGTGTGGCTTTTAAAGAGCCCTGTAAAGAAACCTCCTATTGGAGACTAAGTTAAGTATAGTGATCCTATGTGAATACAAGAACAAAGTAGTTGACTGACCTTCTCCAACTTCCTGGCACAAGTTCCTTGTCAGCCATATTTCCAGGTAAAATCAATGAGGATCTCATTGGATCTAACTTTAGTCAATCTCATTAATTTGCTTAATTTTATTTCAAGGATTTTCATGTAGCAAAGCTATAACTTCTATACTGTTCATATTAAAATTTAAATATTGTTTCATTTTTGTTGTGTCTGTATTTGTGTGGATGCAGTGAGTGCATACCCATATGTGTGTGTACATACATGTAGAGACCAGAGATCAATTTTCAAAGACTATTTTTAATTATGTGTGTATGTGTGTGTGTATGGGGGAGGGGTCTGTTCATGTGAGCATAGTGCCCAAAGAGGCCAAAACGAGTCAGATTCCCTGGAGCTGGAGTTAGAGGCTGTTTGGAGTCATCCCAGGTTGGTGCAGGGAATCAAACTTGGGTCCTCTTGAATGGTTGGCATATTAGCCCTCTCTTCAGCCCAGAGTTCTTCATGGGGATTGAACTCACGTCATCAAGCTCAGGTCATTGGTGCCTTTACCCACTGACCCACACTGCTGGACTTCTCCCTCTATTGCTCTCCACCTCATTTTTTGAAATAGGATCTCTCATTAAACCTGGAGCTCACCAATTTGACAAGATTAGCTGTCCAGCTAGCACCAGGGATCCCGTCTCTGCTTTCACAAACTAGGATCACAGCACGTACAACCACACCTGGCTTTTACATAGTGCTGGGAATCTGACTTTAGGTCCTCAGGCTTGCATAGCAAATACTTTATGGACTAAGTCATCTCTCTATCTCGCTTTTCATTTTTATATATCTCAACGTGTTCTATGCACAAGAGTATGCATATGTAATCTATGTGTATACTGTATCTGACCTTTTCTTCCTTAAATCTTAGAGGTCCCATTTCCAAATACAGCTGCATTTCAAGCTAGTGTTCCAACATATGAATTTCAGGAGGACATAGCCCTTCAGTCTACAGCACTGAGATAGTGACAAAGTGATGTAGAGACAAGAAATGAGAGAGATCTAGGAATGAACTAGATTTGATGATCTATTTATTATAAAGACAGAGGGAGAAAAACACATACACATCCTATACTTTTTACACAAAAGCTCTGTGTTTTTTCTTTTTAAGCTGTGTGATTCTCAGCAGGTCACTAATATTTCCTATTGTAGGCTTGTGGAGGAGTGTTAGTATAACAGCAGAACATAGTACCTGCTATGTATAAGACATGTTAGGTTATTTTAGGTTCGGGCTCCTGGTCCCCATATAAAGGACTCTTGAGTGCCCTCCCAAGTCTTCCCATATCCAGTTGCAGAACTGCCACTGGCACCTAATGACTCAGCAGCATGCTATGAAGAGTTTGTTTATTTAGCTTCTCCAGCCAAGTTGAGCTCTTCTAGGGCATTTCAGGAAGCTGTTCTCCACATGGAGAGGGGAGAGGGGAGGGCAGGACCACCCGCAACTGGAGTTTTTATCATCTCTGGGGATAATGGATGGTGATGGCACCATTCAGTTCTCTTGTCCTTGAGTATTTCCAGAGAGGCCAGTAAGTGAAGATCAGAGAACAAAATCTTACTGGTAGGGTTGGGGTGAAATCTCATTAATAGGTAGCAAGAGTGTACACAAATGTGACTGAGTACCTTCAGGATGGCAGACCCAAGTGGAGAGAGCCATTTATTGCTGGTTCTGGTTGCCAAGCAACCCCGAGAGACCTGTGGGAAGAGCAGAGGGAGCAGGAAGAGCTCCTGCCACCTCTATGTGTGGCCTGTTGATCTGCTGGCCAGGGGAGGGATCCACAGTCTGGGAAAGGACACGGCCAATCCAGGGCTCTAGTGTCCTGGGTTCTAGTCACCTCTGCCCTGCTTGTTGTGTGGTGTGGGTGACCTTCCCTCCTCCCTCACTTGTTTCCCCAGATCTGGAGGAATAACTCTTGCTGTGTTTGCTTCATGGGTTATTGTGAAGAGCAAGTGCTAATGGAAGGGAAAGCTATGGAAGGAAGAACTGTGGCTATTGTCAGTAGTGGAAGTTCATTTTATATGTGCTTAAAGTTTAAAAAATGTAGCGTTATTTGTGGATGTGTTTGTGTGATACTAATGTGAACACTCATGTGGTAGTGTGTGTGTGTGTGTTCACACGCCTGTGTGGAGGTCAGAGGAGAGTTCTATGGAGCAGGTCTCTCCTTCCACCTTTACATGAGTTTTGGGGGCAGAACTCAGGGTATCAGGCTTGCACAGCAAGTGCCGTTACCTACTGAGCTACCACCTCTCTGCTTGTTGGTTTGCTTTAAATACTTCTTTGTGTCTTTCACATCTTCCATTTGATCCAGGTAATCATGTCCTGAAAGGAGGGATTATTGGGGCTAGCAAGATGCCATGAATTCTGACGGTCAATCTCCGGGACCCATGTAAAGGTGAACAGAGTTCCACAGGGTTGTCCTCTGACCTCTATACACATTCGGTGGCACAATACACCCTGTACACCTCTAATATGAATAATGGTAATAAGTATTTTTGAAGGAAAAGGGGATAGTTGAGGTAAGACTTGTCAGGTTCCCTGTGCAGAACTCAGTAGCAGACTTCCTTGTTTAATTCTCTCAATAGACTCTATGCAAGGCTTTGTGCTAGATGGGGATGTGTCCTTCCTACTCACTTGAATTTTCATGGTAGTGGGAGATAGAATATAAGCACAGGATGAAGTGGCCTTTTTCATCTGTCCTA